TATATATATATATATATATATATATATATATATATATATATATAACGGCAAAGTCAGGATTTCGAATTAAGAGAAGCGCATCGAGTATATAAAAATAAAATAAATAAAAACGTAATGATTTATGATAAATTTAATTTTCTAAAACTTATGTAGGAAAGCAATGTTTTTTATTTATACATGATAGAGGCGAACTCATAGGTGCCATTCACTCTTTTCAAATTAAAACACTAAAATAAATTACTTTTCCTGGGTTGTCTTTTTTTATCTTTTCTTAACAACATATTAATGGAATTATGTTAAAATGAGAGGGATCTAAATATACATGGAGCAACGCTTTTGTGAGACTAGAAATAACTAATCTATACTATAAAATATTTGATAAAAACTCTTAAAAATTATTTTTTTATGTACAACATACTGTTTACTGATGCATATTACTTAAAATTAAATATTACAAGTAAATTGTGTATAAGTACAACTTATTAAAACTTCATGTAACTAACTACATATAAATATAATCAAATACATGATAAAATCTAATTTTTAAATATAAAATATCTAAAATAAAATTATGATAATCATTGAACTATAACAAAATACTTAATTATTATTTTTATAAAAAAATATATTATTAAATTTAAATTAAATTACTTCGTTACGTTAAATTAAAATTATAATAAAAAAATTAAATTAAAGAAATTATACAAAAGAAGAACTTTAAAATAGTTAATTTGATAATAATATCACATACTCTTTTTAAAATTTCATGATATTTAAAATTTATATTTTATTCAAAAATAAAAATATATTGATTTTCTCAAAACCATATAAAACCGTATCATATCAATATAGATAAAAAACAAAACAAAACATTTAATTAAAAAGTGTCTTAGTAGATTGCTCGAGTAACCTTCTGAGATAATTTTTTTTTTAAAGTAAAGGGCTTAGAATGGGTTGGTCCCAACTAAATGGACCTTAAGGAACATTAGATGGGTTTTAAATGGATTGGGCTGGGGATACAAATCCAGTTCCAGTTCCAGTTCAAAATTTCCGATTCCAATTCCAATTCCAATTCCAATTCCAATTCCAATTCCAATTCCTTTCTTTATAAAAGAGGTCAAACCACAGAGACTTGCTAATAATCTCGTCTCTTTCATTTCGACTGGAACTGGATCATTCATCCTCTCCTCCTGCGAGGGATTTTTCCTTTCCTTTTTTTTCTTTTTCTTTTCTTTTCCTTTCTTTTTCCCTTTTTCTTCCTTTCATCAAAACCCTAGATTCTATTTCTATCTCTATTTCAACTACCTATATATACATATACATATTTCTTTGGGAATATGCAGCAGCAGCAGCAGCAGCAACAGAGGATAAGGCAACAACAAGCATTGATGCAGCAATCCCTTTATCACCCAGGCCTCTTAGCCTCTCCCCAGGTAAGTACTACATATTATCTTTATCCATTTTTATGCTTAAAGGCTCTTGCTTCTTTTCTTTGCCAAAATTAACAAGAAATAACGCTCTTCTCTGCTCCAACTTACTCAACAGAGCTGTTTTTTCTTTTCTTTCATGTGGAAAACATCACCAACGCTCTTCTTTTTAAGGAAACAAAGTCGCTAGGTCACTGCTACTTGGTTTTTATTTAGGATTAAGACCACTATCGCTATTCTCTATCCCCGTGGTTTACTTGAAACTTACCTTCGCGCATAATCTTTCATCAATAGCTCTCCATCATCCGCTGATGCGATCGTCTAATTTTTTTTTTGTTTGTCATCGATTAGAAAAAATTATACTTTCTTGAAAACTAAATATTCAAACCTAATCGGTACTTTTTCTTTTCTTCTAATAGAGAATGTTAGGTTGCCTGTTTCATTTCTTTATATACCTAACATGGGGTTGGCTGTGACTTGTATCTTGACTTTTCGTTAACAAATTTAGCCTTTTCCAATTTGGGTTTTTGTGGCTCATTTGTACAAGTGATTTTCCTGGCTGGCATTACCATTAGACCCAATCTTATACTTACCGACTACAACTGGGAAAATCATATGTTAATGTGCAATAGCGTTTGAGCTGCACTCAACCTGAGCTCACTTAAGTACCAATGTTATGTGGCATGCTTTTCTCACTTAGTACTATATCATAGCATTAATGTGCAATAGCTTTGGAGCTGCACTCAAGTTTAGCTCACTTAAGCGCCAATCTTATATGGAATACTTTTATCACTTGCTACTCTATGTGTTTGATTGTTAATTGAGTTTGAAGTGCTAACGATGGAGAATGCCTACTACTGGTTATATCTTTGTTTTTCTGCTTAGTTTATAATTTTTCTACCGTCAGGTTCTTTTGAAAAATTGCTGACATTTAAGCGCATGCACATCAGAGTTTGTGTGATAAGTCCACATTTCGTATTTATGTGCGATATCTGGATCTACCTTTTCCTCTACTTATGTGGCTTGAGCTAGTACATTTTAATCTCCATATATTTTGCTCTTGATGGGTGGTCTCTCCCTTGTTGCCATTTAGACTTACTTCCATTGTTTTTCCCCCTCTTAGTAACTTTGCAGTTCATATTCTCTTCGTGACACTCAATCGACTGATTGGTTTTCTTTTGTTAAGTAGTAACTGCACTTGGGATATGGCCCACTAATCATGAGCAGTACATGTTGACATCTCTCAAACCTAATTTATGGAAGTAAATGTGTTGGGTTGGGATTGCCTGCTTTACTTATCAGATATCTGCAATATCACTTTCTAAGATATTTAGCTGGCACTAAAATTACTGCATCAGGAAGAAATGGTTTTGTCCATAAGTTTCTTTTTCCTGCAAAGCTTTATTTTTATCATTTACTTATGCTTATGTTCTCCATATCTCATGTGCTGTTTAGTAACTTTTTTCCTTTACCGTTTTAATTCATTGAATTTGCAGATAGAGCCGATCTTGAGTGGAAATTTGCCTCCTGGATTTGATTCAACTACATGCCGTAGTGTGTGAGTGTCTTTAAATGTCCTCTTTTGTTTGTTCTCTCCCTCTTATTTTGCCTTTCCTTTGGGTCGAAGGGATGTGGATCTCCCGCATTTTATCAAATCTGGTTTCAAAACTACCAAACTGCCTGTCGATTAAGACCCACAAAATGTACACCTTTTCTTGATGAATTACACCTTGCAGTAGTCTTATGGTATCCATACATAGTACCTAGTTGTTTCTGAAGGCTTTTATTTGTATGTCTTGGCATTCTTGAGTGTGTGTTTTTGAAGTTATTTGCTAAATTTCATTGCATGCTGCTTGATGGTATTCATCTTTCAGAGGGAATCTATTGCTTTGGATACATCTTTCTTACTTCCCACCTTTAACTACTAGTTTGTTCAAGGTGATCCAAAATCTTTGTTTTTGGCATTTATCAAAAAAGTGTAGATTATTTAATTCTGTTTCAAGTGTGCCTAATTTTTATGAAATTTTCCAATATGGAAGCGTGCATGTAGTGTTCAAACTGGTTAGAAAAAAATGGCTTAGATTCTTCACAGTTGCTGGGGATGCTTCTTACTGTCTCATTCAATGATGATATCTTTAACATGCTTAATGGATGTAGGTATGTTGGAAACATCCACCCACAGGTTACAGAAATACTACTTCAAGAGATTTTCTCTAGCACTGGTGCTCTGGAAGGATGCAAACTTATTCGGAAAGAGAAGGTATGGTCTTTTCTTCCAATTTTTCGACTTTCATTTGTTACTCCTTCAACCTGAGAGATTTGCTTGCTATGATTTCATAACTGCGCAGTTTCTACTCCCGCTAATAGTTTAGCACATTCTATGTTTTCCCTTGTTAAATAGAAAAAGATGTTTGCAATTATACTTGTAACTACAATCGGTCTTATCCCAGATTGTACTGGAATTTAGGCCATGTTATGAAAATCTCATATGTCTGATGACCTATATGTCTCTCATGATCCAGAAATATATTGTTTACTAACATATTCCTGTCAATTGATCATTTGATGGAATGTTTGTTTGTATTTTATTCTACCTGGTATGTACGTGTAGCTACTCTTTTGATACACTGTTGTCCAAAGTTGTTTTCTGTATTAAGTGTATATCATTTAGACGTGATGGCATGATGCTACCAGCTTGTTAATGCTTATGATTGATGTGTTCTATTCTTCTTTGCTTGGTTTGCAGTCATCTTATGGTTTTGTGGACTACTTTGATCGGCGTTGTGCTGCTCTTGCTATTGTAACTCTAAATGGAAGACATGTGTAAGTATACATCTTTAAAAATGTCTGGTTTCCATTCGTTCGCAGTCAATGGAAATTGCTTTTGACAACATGTATTTGCAGGTTTGGTCAGCCTATCAAAGTTAATTGGGCATATGCCAGTAGTCAAAGAGAAGACACATCAGGTTTGTTACTGTTTCTGTAGTTCAATACAGTAAATGGTTGGCTAACGTTTCTGATACTGATTGCATGTGCTATTGTTGTCTTGGTTTGCAGGCCACTTCAACATATTTGTAGGTGACCTTAGCCCGGAAGTCACTGATGCTACATTGTTTTCTTGCTTCTCTGTATACTCTACTTGCTCGTAAGTACTAGTTTCTATGTGTGATACAGTTATTAGTTGTATAACATCCCTGATGATCTTATCCGTGCATTCTTGGTAAGTGATGCAAGAGTTATGTGGGATCAGAAGACAGGGCGCTCCAGGGGATTTGGTTTCGTTTCGTTTCGGAGTCAGCAGGTAAGTGAAGTACATGTTGAGCCGAAACATATTCCAACTCCCTTTTTTTTGGAAGGGTGTCCGAGGCTATGCCTAGACTAATCCCGGCAATTTGTGACTGCAAGAAATCAGCCCTGATAAACTTGGTGGCCACAATTGTTATGTATGCCTGGAATTGAACCCTGGACAGATGGGATATTCCACCTCCTTTCCTGTTAAAATGATAACTATTATTTACTTGACTTTCATTTTTGTAACAGGAGGCTCAAAGTGCAATCAATGATATGAATGGTGAGGATTTTAAGTGTATTCATTAAGTTCATTACAGGTTCTTTGTTTGTGTTTTCTTCCCCTGTACTTCTATTTTTTGTTGATCTCAAACAAGGAGAGGTATAATCTGGGAAGCAAGACCGATTAGCTAAGACCATAACTATGAAATGTTGGTTTGGATCTTGGTGTTTGTGGAGGGTTTCGTAGAGGGAAAGAGCTTCCATTCTAGCAAAAAGAGTTTAGGATAGAATAATCAAATTAGGGATCTGATTAGTAGACAGTAGCCTAATTACACACCTAGAGAGAGGAAGCAAGAAGCAATTAGGACCAAAGGTCAACATGGTGAGCTCTGAGGGCCATCTGCCTAAGAGCTCTGTTCCTTCTTTTGTTTTGGTCTTCTGGATCATCTTATGATCTGTTTTATGTTGTCTCCCATTCCCCCTCCGTCAATCTTTTTAAATAGAATGAGGTGTGACAAGACTTTTTCTTCTTCCCTTACCATTTGATCTTTTCAACTGGGCTGTATTGTGTGAAAGGTTTTGATTTTCGATGTGTTTCATGATTAAGGAGTTATATTTTGTGGCACCTGTAATCCTACACTTTTTTTAGGTTGACGAGCTCTGGTGCCCCATATGATGCACCACACCTGTTCCCATGTTTATCAGGTCTATGTGTTAGTATCTTTCCATCTGTCTTAAAGACAAGAATGCTTTTCAATAGAGACTGATCTAGGTTTCTTACATCTATCTTTATAACCCACAATACTTTTGACTAATAGGTTAACAGGGATAGTTAGTTCATTGATCTATAGCACTTCCTCTTATTTCTTGACAGTGAAAGGGGATCCTCATCCATGAGCATGTATGTGAAACAGAAATTAGGCTACTTTTGTTCTCTTTTCAAAATCGTCTTGATTGATTAAAACGTAGTTAGCACTTGCAACCCTTCTTGTAGGGGGTGCTGACAGTTGTTCCAAGCTTGTGAAACAGAAATCAGGCTAGTTTTAGTTGTTTGTAACTTTATATCTGAATTTATCCAAGAAATTTTAATTTAATGGGACATCTTAGGCTGTAAATGATTTCACATGTTCTCTGCTTTTTTTTTGGTTAAAGGTTTGTTGTTTTCTTAAACTGTTACTGGCTTGAGGTAGCCTTCGTGGACATTCGTGGACATAACAGATAATTTTGTACTTGCTCATTTAGATTAGATTGTTTCGTTCACCTGGTTTCTGTTGTAGGGAAATGGCTTGGAAGCAGGCAAATTCGTTGCAACTGGGCTGCGAAGGGTGCTGGAACAGATGACAAACAAAGTTCAGATTCTAAAAGTGTTGTTGAACTGACGAATGGAACATCAGGTTAGCTTTGTAAAAGTTCCCTTCCTATATAAATTTCACATGTACTGTATACATGTAAACCGAAAAAGGAACAGGAAGGAAACTCATTGATTACCTAAATGAGCAAGGAGCTCTCGATTTTTGACTCATCAGGAGTTAAAGTCTGTTAATGAGCTTAGATAGCCAAAATCCGCTACTGGAAGTGGGTTTTTCTTTTGCTGGAAACTATACTAATTAAGAATGCCATTGTTGTTGATAGCAGGAATATGGAAATTGCCATCCTCCCCAACTCTTTCATAATAGTCTAGCAACATTGGTGCACTTGGGACACCCTTATTACTATCCATTAGTACAATATGCAAATACATTATTTATATATTTTTTATTCATATATATATGTAAGTATATATACCCACAGACTCATAACGACTTCACCAAGTAAATATAGCATGCATGCTATAGCTTTAGTTCCCTTACTTTCTGTTAACCTCTTTATGCCAGATTAGTCTGGACTACCGACTATGGAGTCTAATAGTTTTTATTTTGGGCTATGTGGTATTCACCGAATAACAAACCAGCTTAGATGAAGACTGAAAGGAATCAGTCACCACTGCTTATCTTTATGTAGTTGCACTGCAGTGAATCAAGATAACCATGTTTGCTTGTTCCTAATGAAATGATGAATGTTTCAAATGCTACAAGCCTTCCCACAAGGTATACACTGAGTTCATAATGTTGAAGCACATGTGTAACTAGATTAATTCTGAGTCACCATAAACATAATATCTACTCTCTGAACATCTTTTAAAGCCAATGAATCATCAGAAACCAAAAGTAGAGTGCAGAACATGTGCGATAGACTGAAGTGGCATTTTTCAGAACTGGGAAGATATGTGGTGTAGCCCCGCTTGCTTATGTATAGACATTTGAGATGGCTAATAGATACAGGCTTTTTTTATAAATAAAGTAGTTTGAAAATTAGTCAAATATCTAAAATGCCCTTTGATGAAGAAAAATAGAGAAATCTTGTGGACTCTGTCGATAGTATCTTGTAAGGATTACCAAGGGCAAATGAGTAGTATTGAAATGGAATTTGCTAAAACAGGTTATGGTGCTTTTATTTTTGGACCACCTGAAATGGAAATTGCTGCATACATATTGGGATGGAGGGAGTATTATTTACATCAGATATGGTATTTTGTTATTTGTTGCAGATGATGGTCAAGAAAAGACTAGTGAAGATGCTCCAGGAAACAATCCTCAATATACAACTGTTTATGTTGGCAATTTGGCCCCGGAGGTTAGCATTTGTTTCATTACAAGCTGTCAGTGAAATTCAATTGAACGACACTGTAGCTTTGGCTCTCTTGAGTGTGTTTTTTGGTTCCGAATAAAGACCAAATTTAGTTAGCTCACTTGTGTGCCAACCACTAATTGGTGTTCCATTACATGCCATTAAATGTGCTTGGAGATGATGATTGTTTTGTAGGCTCATTTCTTTTGACCGTTTGTGTTTGCCATGGCACATTCACAAATTAGATCCATCTAGTCCTTTTTCTCTGGGTGTGGTGGCATATTTTAAAGTATCTTGTGGGTGTTTGTTTGTAGAATCCTGATGAAGAAGTCATATTGCAGGTTACATCAGTTGATCTCCACCGCCATTTCCATGCTCTTGGTGCTGGTGTTATTGAAGATGTTCGGATACAAAGAGACAAAGGCTTTGGTTTCATAAGATATAGCTCCCATGCTGAGGCCGCTCGAGCTATTCAGTTTGGAAATGCCAGGGTTCTGTTTGGCAAGCCACTCAAGGTATATTTAGCAGGTTTTGACGATAGCATTATCATCAAACTTAAGCCAAGTTCTATTAGAAGATTGATTTGGTGTGCCTTGCAGTGTTCATGGGGTAGCAAACCCACACCTCCAGGAACCAGTTCGAGCCCTTTGCCCCCACCAGTGGCTACAAATGCACATGCTAATGCAAATGTAGGTGGTTTTTCAGCAGCGGAGCTTGCAGCGTATGAAAGACAAGTGGCTCTGAGTAAAATGGGTGGTGTTCAAGCTCTGATGCATCAGCAGGCCCAGCGGATGGGTATGGGAATGGGAATGGGGATGGGTGCTAGCCAGGCAGTCTATGATGGTGGTTACTCGGGTATTGCTGGTGCGCAGCCCCCTTTGTACTACCAGTAATAAAAACAAGTTTTGAAGAAAATGGGTACAAACACTGGAGTGAGTAAATTATCACCTTAAAATGGGTACAAAACACTGGAGTGAGTAAATCATCACCTTAGGAGGATGATTTGTGTTATACTTTCTAGAAAGTAATTGGGGTGCTTGTTGATGTTATCCCATCTGATCAGTGTATGATGGATATATGTACTTGTTTGTCATCTGATTCCGACCTTGTGTACGATGAATGGAGCTAGCTATGTTAAACACTAGTCAGTTTTTCATTTTATTTTAAAGAAAATAAGTAATTAACTTTTTTACAACCACCATGCATCGTATCTAAAAGAAGCAGCAGCAGCAGCAACACTTGATGAATATGTCAGGTGGTTGTGAATCGGTCATAACATAACATATGATGCATGCATGATTCCCCAGCAGCAATAGGTACACAAAAGATAACATGAAGGATTTGCACAAGAAATCTTGAAATTGATAATTACAATCTAACAAAATTGTGTTTCTCTTTTATATATAATTTGATTATAAGGTGAAGATGCCTGCGGACAGCTTCTGGCCATGAGACCTGTAAACGACTTGTGTGCTACAATGTTTTTCTCTTCTTTCGTCCATCCTGATCTTTCTGGACCGACACTCTATGCTACAAAATGCTCTCCTGCCTGTAATCATCATGTCATGTTCAGTTCTATATGTATGTGTGTGTGTGTGTATATATATATATATATATCTTTTACAAAATCAAATAAATATATAGAAAATGAAGACTTTTACCTGTACATATAGATGTCTTTGCCATGGAGTTTTTTGTTGCAGAGGTGACAAGAAGTCAGAAAATCAGGAGGCGGGTAGCATTTGATATGATCAAGTGTTGGAAATATGTCGAAAAGGCAGGTCTCTCTGCTCTTACTTGCCTTCCTCCCACTGCATGCGAATCCGGCATCATCATAGAAGTTGGTATATGAATTTATGGTGTACTCAGTACTCTTCTTCTTCTTCTTCTTCTTCTTCTTCTTGTTTGGAAGTTTGATGATGTTGTTTTGGAGGTTGATTTAGGGTGGAAGTAGTGTGCAAGATGACAATGGAGTATGGCTGTAGGTGACAGAATCTTCAACTCCGAAAGGACTTGTTGGGCAGGGGTGGCCGTTTGTTAATAAGTTGCCGATCATCGGTGGTCTTTTGTTGGATGTCATGAGAATTGAAAGAGAGAGAGGGTTAATTATAAAGAAAGAAGAGGAAGAAATAATATATAATAGTAAATTAGTAATTGTAAAAGGGGTATGATATGATATGATATGATATGATATGATATGATATGATATGATTGAGAATTGAAGATGAGATGCATGCTTTTTCTTTTGGCTTCAGACGCATATATAACAATTGATGGTGCTTTTTTTATTTACTTTGTATTTAATAATTCATACATAAATGAATTGAAGGTATTGAGTTTAGTGAAGAAATAGATACATAAAATGAAATCATATATATATGAAAATAGGAGATAAATAATTAAACAAAAACATTATTGAAAGACAGACGTCCACACCAACCTTATTGAATTAAATATGTATATAATAATTTTTAATTTTACAATTAATTAATAGGTCATGTCATCTCTTGCTTTATTAAATATAAATAAATAATGTAGGAGGAATTCTAACAAAATCATAATTACTTATATATCCTAATTTTTTAGACTAATTAATATCCAATTTGTTTTCACTTTATCACATTAAACACATTCATTAATTCAATTATTTTTAACAATATTTGAAAAACTATATATAAAAATGTTGTTCAACTATTTATCCTTTTTAGCTACATTTATAATATATTTTAAATTCTCAGTTTCTTGCAAATTAATATATATATATATATATATATATATATAGGGAATGGTTCAAACGAGAACCCCTGTGATTTACGAGAACGCAAGAACAATCCAATAACCTTATATTGTGATAAAAAATAAAAGTAAAAGATTTTTAAAATTAAAATTGAAATTTAAAAAGATTCAAAAAAATTTAAAATTAAAAGGGTAATAATGGAAATGATATCATCAAATCTTTTAAACACGATCATTATCTTTTAAACACTCATTATTATCATTAGTCTTATCATTATCTAGTAAACGGTTACGAAATAGGTTAGGATTATACTAGGTGTGATAATCATGTGATATGAGTGTCACTACTAGAAAATCAGGTATCAGCGACGACTATCAGCGAGGGAAAATTTCCCTCGCAGATCCCTCACTGATCAGCGAGGGATCAGCGAGGGAATTTCCAAAAAACTCATTCTCTCGCTGATCCCTCGCTGATCAGCGAGAGAAACTTTCCCTCGCTGATCAGCGAGAGAAACTTTCCCTCGCAGATCCCTCGCTGATCAGCGAGGGATCTGCGAGGGAAGTTCGGAAAAAACTAAATCCGTCGCTGATCCCTCGCTAATTTGCGAGGGATTTTTCTTCCACAAAATCCCTCGCTGATCCCTCGCAAATCAGCGAGGGATCAGCGAGGGAATGTGAATTTTTGTCATTTCCCTCGCTGATCCCTCGCTGATTTGCGAGGGATCAGCGAGGGATTTTTCTATATTTCCTATTTTCTCATTTTTATGTGTTGATATCGTATGTATGCATGTCATGTGTTGTTTGTGTGTGTGTATATATATATATATATATATATATATATGTTGTGGTTGCTAACCGCGATATACGCATGTGTTATAAGTATATATACCCGTCGTGAGGTGTCAAAATGATATACATTCACATATACACATATGTTTAAACATATATTCATCCACCCAATCGTGGTTTGCAACTAGTACATATCGTGTATATATGTGTATATATAATTGACCGACGGGTATATATATACATATAACACATACAACGT